TCCTTGGGCTCCGGCGCCTTCTTCTTCCTTGGCTTCACCACGACCTCGCGCGCCTGAGAGAACTCCTTCTTACACTCGGCAATCTCCATGCGCAAGTCGTTTACCCGATCATGCAAGTCCCTTTCTTTCTCTTGCGCTTTGTTGGCGATGCCATCAATCAGCTCGTAGAGTTCCGCCATCTTTCTCTCGAGCCTGTTAAACTTGGTCTCCGTGTAGACCAAGTGTGTGGCAAGCTTCTCCTCCAAGCTCTGCTCCAAGACGTGGACTTGGTGGTCTCCTCCGCTAGCCATGTCTACTCCAACAAAGCTCCCTTGACGAACCTGCTCTGATACCAACTGTCACGGGCTTAGAGTTTCAGCACCACTCTAGCTGCTCCCGTGCGGCACCAAGACGTTGCTTTCACTCTCGCAAGTACTTGGTCAGCCTAACTCCCGTGCACACCTTAGCCAACACACTCCCCTCGTGCGCTTACTAGTGTTGTAGTTGCCCTCGCCCTCTCCTCACTTGGCTTGCACACTCACACACACTAAGGCACTTAAGTTGGCAAGGAAATAACACTTCTATTACTTCAAAGAATGCTTTGTACAAGGCTAACACTCAAGCTCTCTACAAGGCTCTCAAGACTCACTCCAGGACTTGTTCCCTGCAAAATGAAGTCCTACCTCTATTTATAGGCATCCCCATCCCTAATGGACGGCTAGGATGCATTCTAACCAACGGTGGAGATTGATTATCTAGAATCTTCTCCCACCTTCTTCACACTTCCATACTTATCTACTAGTATCTACAACATTCTAGAATTCTCCATACTACTCCACACAACTCTGGAGAACTCTAGAACCTTCCACACACTTCTACACATTTCTACACATATCTAGAATCTTCCACATAACTCTAGACTATTCCGGAAGACTCTAGAAACTCCACTTGCCATGCAGTTGCCATGCAGCGTCCTCCTCAGCGTCTGCGTGTCGCCTGCGTGGCACAACCTCCATAGGCGGGGCGTGACAGATCGCACAGGTTCCGGAAGCTATCAATCGAGCCCCTAGGCAAGTTCTTGAACCAACTAAGCGCCGGTCCGGCTAGACTTGTAGGGAAACATTTGCACGTTAAAGAGTCGTTCTCCGTATTCAGAGCCATCTTCAACTGGATATGGTACACATGATCGATCGGATCGGTTGTTCCGTCAAACAGAATAAAGACTGGCATGGCAAACTTCCTTGGATGCGGAGCATTCAGGATCTCATCAGTAAATGGTGAATCAACTGTCCGAGCCGCGGATCGGAGTGCTTCATTCTCTCTCTGGAGCCCAGCGGTAGCTCTATGAGCTACAGATCTGCTCTCCGAACCGCGATGAGTGAGTGTAGCCATGGAGGGCCGGTAAGACAGATCGAATGACCGTTCCTCAATGAGCTCTCTTTGCCAAGGCGATACAACTCGGCGGCGATCAACCTCTATCACTTCCTCTCGGTTGAACCTTTCCTGATGCGGATCGAAGGTCATGGCTTCGTTCTGTCTGATCTGCTCATGTCGCGGATCAACGTGAGTCGATCCTTCGTGATCCTCAACTCGATGAACATTTGGCGGCAAATCGTCCATCCTCCTTTCATCACGGTGGAGAGCTGACCGATTGTTCTCGTCCTGCTCGTTTTGATGTGCGATATTAGATTGAATACCTCCTTCACCGGCCGGAAGTGGACGCGGAACCGCCGGCATTTGCTGATGCTGCATTCCAGCTTTCAATTCTGCATTCTCTCTTTTGAGAGCTTCGATCAAGTTCATCAACTCCTCAAGCTTCGTTTGCTGGACAGCCTCCATCGGATTGGAGCTTTCACCTATCATTATTCCTGAACGGAGTAAAGGCATTAATCTCAAGTTCTTGAGTAGATCTGAGCTTCGTGAGCGCGAATTTTTCAGATCCGGACTCGAATTCTCCGAGTTGTGCTTACGGTTGACGAGATCTGAATTCTCCGAATTCTAAATCCGTCAGATCCGGCCGCAATCAAACAACTCGTTGTTGCGTAGATCTGAAACCACTTCCGTCAAAGCAACAGAACTAAAATTCCTCCAGAATAGGTCACAATCTCTCAGATCTGGATCCAACTCCCAAAGATCGAGTTTCGTCTTCACAAATTGGTCTGAATCCATGCGATATTGATCAATGATCAATCAATCTTCAACAATTCCCACAGACGGCGCCAATTGAAGATGCAAGGAATTCATTTCCATTTTCTCTCTCTAGAATTCTTACACTTCAACAGAATGAATCTCTCTCCCCATTACTTCTCATATTTATAGGTATTTACAAACATTAATGGGTTGCTAGATCTGGGCCCGTTCCTCTATGGGCTTTGGTGATAAGCGCCGAATACTGTATATTCAAGCGCCCTAAATTACATTAACAAAGTCCATTAATTGATTATTTTATGTAGATTATCTCCATTTGCATGTTTTTGTACATTTTCAGGTTAAATTGCAAAAAGGAAGCAAAAATGATGCCTTGTGGAATTTTGAACAAAAAGGGTGCCAATTCTGAAATTCTGGCAGCAATAGAACCTGACTTTTGTCGCCATTTTCGACCTAGTAAACTCAAGAACTGGACTTCCATCATAGCATGAAAGATTTAGAGCTCTGAATCAGCTTTCCAAATCTTCAAGCGGTTTGTCATTCGGAGTTCGGAGCAGAGAGTTATGATCTTCTTACCAGAGGTGCGCAGAACTGCCTGGCAGCACTGAAGTGCTGCCTTTCTCCCCATTTTCGACCAACCAGACTTGAGAATTGGGTCTTCATCAAAACATGAAGTTTTTAAATCTCTGAATCAGCTCTCCAAATCTTCAAACAGATCATCATTCGGAGTTCGGAGCACAAAGTTATGGTCATTCTTCCACAGTGGGTCAGTGATGGGCAAGAATTGCATGTTACACATTACACTAATTTCGAGTGCTCGAGGCCACCCTTCGAGTGCTCGAAATTTGGCCAGATTGCAGCTCGGAAATGAACCCCTCTTCAGCCCACTTGTGCATTGGTTTCCACATTTCCACCCTCCTTCTTTATGGAGTGGTTGGGAATGTCTTTGGAGGAGAGAGAAAGCTTGGTTGAAAGATATAAGGCAACTAAGGGCCACATGCATCAACTCCTTCATTTCTTACAAGATTAGAGGAGAGAGAAGAGAGCAAGGAAGAGAGTGTTCTTGAGTAAGTAGAGCTCGAAAATGAAGTTGTATTCTTCTTCTTCTTCCTCCATTTTTGTATCAATGGAGAGCTAAACCTCCATCTAGGGAGGTGATGAAGCCTCCTCTTTTGATCATGTTCTAGATTAGGCTATACTTTTGGGGACTATAATGTATAATGTATGGTAGTTTCATAGTCTAAGAGCATATTCCTTCTTGTAATGAATTTTAATGTGTAAATGGTTGATGTAAGTTCATTGTCATATCTTTGATGATTCTTGGATCAATCTCATTGCTTTTATTTTCATAGTGACAATGAAAATATAGACTGTGAATGTTTTTCAAGGCATGTTGATTTTGAAACTTGATATTCCATTGCTTTGGTACCTCCTTTGATGGTTTATACTTGATTCCTACCTTCATGTGCTTCACCATTTGATTGAAAGCTTGATGGTCTTTTGCTTGAGATAGTGTATTTGATTTTACACCTTAGTTTAAGTAGTTCAACTATGGTAGCTTTTGATGGATCATTCTTGTTTTGATTAAGTGAACTTCTTGATGATTATTAAGCAACGAAGTTGCTTCATATTTCTTGACCATTGCATATATGCTATTTATCCCCAAATTTAGACCTAATCTAGCATGTACTTAGGGTGTAGTGTGGATTCATCTCCCTAGTCTTTTCTACTTGTATCTCACTTCTTCAATTTCATTACAATCTATTGTTTTATGCACTTTAATTTCTTAGTTTAGTGACAAACACACAAACCCTCTATGAACACCCCTTATCACTCTAAAATGACTCTAGACACTTAGGTTGCCATAAATTAGCGCAGTCCCAGTGGTTCGACTTACCCGACCAATAGCCCTATTTTACAATGATTCGTGCTATTGCGAAGGTTGATGTATAGTTGATCAACCGATCATTTGGTCATCTTCGATGGGCTATTCGCGTTCGGCCCATATGGCAGTATTTCTTTATGGGCTGGACCCAGCTGCTCGGACCGGATGCCATGTTCGCGGGTCATATCCGGCTCATATCACTTCTGGCCTCCTCAATTACTTAAAAAAATGTATAGCTTACAAGAAGTAATTCAGGAAGCATGTTTAATTAGCTTTGGCCAATCGAACTTCTAAATTACTAGACCTTTTTAAAATAGTCTGTTTTCATAAATTTTACCAAACGTTTTTTATTATTGATAAATAACTTTCTAAATTTAAAACCCGTTTTGAGACTACAATGAGGCCAGCTAAACAGGGCCATAATTTTTGGAGAATGAGCATGTAATGACTGACTCTCCGACAGATTATCGTGGTTGGCAAAGCTTTCTGTCATGGGTGGCCAATCGATTTTGAACTGCCAGCCATAGAATGATCTCACTTGGAATGAGAAGAGAGAAGAAATGGAACTTGGAAGAGAGTGAGTTGAAGGTCGTTGAACCAGGAAGGGAGAAAACGTTATAAGGTTTATGAATATATAAAATAAAACTCAAGCGCCTGAGTTAAATTTTAGAGTGCAAATAGTAACTCCCACTCCCAAATAATATTTGCTTATTCAAGATTGCCTATAAATAGCACACATAATATTTAAATGACCACCTATACATCAGTATCTTGTGAAAATATTATTTTTTTTAAAAAAAAATTGAAATTATTTTACTTTCCAACGTCAATAACCCCCTACCTTGAGCAATCTGTCAAGTTGCTTTCATATGAAAAAAGACACAATCTAATGCTTAGATGCCCGAAATTGAGTTTTACTATTAAGTTAAAAAACACAATGGCAAATGGTAAGTGGAAATTTGGATCAGGCCTAACTGCTCTGAGAGAGTGATTCTTCATGTACAATAATATTAAATTTAAAAGAAAAATGAACCCAATTCACATTAACCATCCTTCGCTTGTATTATATTAGGAAGTTACATGCTTAAGAAACAGCGGGTGAAGCATCGAGGTTTCATACCCACCCACCACTGGCCATGTAGAATACTTGTTCCGGGCTTTATACCTCAGCAGCAACATAGACAACAACAGATCTTCCCAACGATAACAATATCACTTGTTTTGCTCACCCTCTTTACATCAGTCTCTAAACAACTCCATCTTAATTACCTAACTAAAAGCTATCTTTTTTTTTTTCATTTTTCATTTTTTTTTTTTTTTTTTGAGGCTCTCCTCAAACAAAATAATCAGGCTACAATTTAAATATAATCAGCTTTATAAGCCCCTACTTTTCTTTTCTTTTTTCCTTTTTTTCTATGTAAGAATGAACAGAATGTCACAGGTTGGAGCGCTTTAAGTAGACCAACACACCAATACCTGTAGCAACAATTGCACCGGCACAAATCCCAGAGGTGAGAGAGATCCATCCAGTGTTTGTGGTAGTGGTTGTAGCTAACTGTGGCATTGTTCTTTGTAGGGGTGAATCAGCATAGTCCAGATGCAATCTTAAAACCTGAAGAACGGTGCCAAATTTAAAACAAACCATTAATTCCCACACAAAACACATGTTAAATACAATAGCCTTTTACAGTAGAATATCGTACTAACGATGTTAAATACAATAGCTTTTTACAGTTGAATATAGTACTAATGTAACACAAGAATGCTGTAGTATGAAATCATTACAAATTAAAACAAGGAAATGAAAATTCATTTCTTTATAAAATAATAATAATAATAACAATAAGAATACAACTGGGAAAAAATAAAAAATAAAAATAAAAAAAGAATTACAACCATATAGATCATATATGCAATTAGAAAATACAAATGCAACCCCACGACAATGAATAAACAACAATAACAAACAAAACCTTTTCACCAACTACTTGGAGACATCTACATAAATTATATTTTTCCATTCTGCTCTATCTGAGGACATAATCTCGATGTACCATATCATTACAACTACTAACTTTAGTATTTCCCTTTTCCTAGTGGTGCTACTTCAACCTCTAACAAATGTGTTTACTTTTAATTTTATCCTTTCATATCCTATCGCACATCCATCTCAACATTCTAATTTTTGCCACATTTTACGCATATGTCGTTTCCTAGCTACCTAACATTCTATCCTGTAAAGTACAACTCATCAAACTCTCTTAACCCTCCTTTATTTGGGATTGGAGCCGGCTGTGTTAAAGATAATGCACTAAACATGACATGGGCATAATCCTCTACAATGGATAATAACCAAATTTCATCCATGTTAATTAAGTAAACAATGGGATAATCATGCCACATCAAATAAGAGAGTTACAATTCTTCATACATGGTGCAAAACCTAAAAATATAACACACGCCATGCTAGTGTTATTAGAGTGATGAAAGCCATCATTTCAAGCATACCATTCAGATGATCCAAGTATATGAATCAATTTTGAATTCACTGAAGTATCTTTCAAATTGAACTCCATAAAATGTTATGAAACAACAAAGATTCATCACGAAGGCTTTTCCTAGCTATTCGAAGTTGCCTACATGAATCCTCTTTTGATTATAAGGCCATAATCTCAATCAAATTGCATACTGTCATATCTCTCCCTACTGTCTCTGTCCATATTATTTTCTATCTTACTCTTTGGCATAACAATCAAGGTATACAACATCAATTTTCCACACTAGTAGAGTTCTTCATTTTCACTGCACATAGCTAGACCATCTTAACTGAACCTCTCATTTTATATCCAAAGGTTGCTACTTCAACCATCTCCCTTCATTTCTAGGGTGAATTGCACTAAACGCCCCTTGACTTTCACCGTTTGGCAAAAAAAAAAAAAGGATAATATTTGCATCCTGCGCAGGGAGGATGAAGTTCAGCCTCCCTGCTGACGTGGCCCTCTAATATTCAGACATCTGTCGAAAATTAAAAAATAATAAACAATGGGTAATGCCCATTTGTGCAGGTTAAACCTGATTCTCCATCACTCTCCTCTCTCTCTCTCTCTCTCTCTCTCTCTCTCTCTCCCCGTCAGGTACTGGTTAAACCCGCTTCTCTTCACTCTCTTTCTCTCTGTCTCTTTCTCAGAAGACCCAATTTTTCACGCCTCCCACCGCCATCATCCTCAACTCTCTTAGCCTTTTCCTGGAACACCTTCAGCTTGTGTCCGGCGGCAAAGGCGGAGGCGGTTCTATCGTGTGCCTTTACAGACTCTCCTGCTAATCCTAAACTCCCCAAAAAAGGTCTACCTTCTTTCTTTGATAAGACGCTTTTATGGATGATTTTATACAGGTTCTTTGAATTTGTGAGTTAAGAGGCTGAGTTTGGCAAAATCAATTTTGGGTTTGTGTTTAGCCCTACTCTGAATCTGGGATTTTTGGAGCTACAAAGTGGCGGTTGTCGTCGGCACCGAAGGAGGTGAGTTTGATGAGATGTCGAACTTGGTAGTGAGTGAGTGAAGGGAGAGAGTTTGGATCGGGTCTTCAAATGCGAGAATTGCTTCATCTATTGATAAATTTGATGATATCGGAGGTGGAGAAACCGACCCAAATCTGATTTCGGCCCCAAATTTTGTTCTCAACCATGGCCGCCATTATACATACATACATATATATACCTTACAATAGAGAGAGAAAGAGATTGTGAGTGAAAGAATTTTAGTGAGGGACAAAGATGTATGCCTACTGTTTAGCTTCAATTTACTCATTAATGGACACACCATCACCATCTGTTTTGCTCTGGTTATAATATGAATTGGGCTGACTTTTTACATCATACTAGTTATATTAGAGACTGTGGTTGGTGTAGAGGCAAGCATTCATGTGTGGTAGCCATGAGCAGGAGTGTGGCAGCGGCGACAGATCCGTCGTTGGCGACAGCAGCTTGTGCATGCCGGCGATTGACAGAACAGCGGGCAAGATGGGCTATGGATGAACTTCGGCAGTGCAAGGATGGGGGCGAGACGGCGATGACGAGCTTTAGCAGCGGTGGGAGACGGGCTGTGGAGAGGACTCAGCCGCGATGGAGTGGTTCGCGGCGTGATGGCAGTGGCGAGCTTGCCTTCGGATGATGGTGGTGGCAGCAAAGCGACCAATATTGGTGGTGGTAGTGGAGTTATCATTGGTGGTGTCCATTTGAGCCCATTTGATTTTGAGGGCGGCGGAGGGGGGAGGATTTGACGGTGGTGGTGTGGTGGTTGAGAGAGATGAGTTATAAGAGAGAGAGAGAGACTGATTTAGAACGGGTTTGACCCGCACAAATGGATATTACCCATGTTTTTATTATTTTTTATTTCTGGACACTTATCAACATGGAGGGATGCCACATCATCGGGGAGAATGAAGCTCATCCTCCCTGCGCAGGCTGCAGACCACTGCGCTGACTCAATCTCTTCATTCATGGCAGCAGACCACTGTGCTGACTCTCCACCTGTGATGGCCTCATGATAAGTACACGGCTCATCAATATCTACTACTACGCTAAGTGCATAAGCAACTGAATCAGCATGTGAAAACATATACCTCTTAGGTGGCCGGATATCCCTCCTAGGCCTGTCTCTAGCCACACTATACTGTTGCAACTGTGCATCTCCCTTAGCTCGAAACTGCACCTGCTTGTGAGTTGACCGAACAGCATTATCCTCTAACTAAACCTCTACATGTTCCACTTGCTCAATGACACCCTAAGCTCTCCCTGAATCAACTACCTCCTTAGGCAGAGTAAGCATCACACACTCATGAAAGGTCAAATCATTGCTAACAAGTATCTTCCTTTCAAAAGCCTCTGCGCACCATAATCTATATCCCTTGACCACGGGCTGATAACCAAGAAATATGCATTTCTTAGGTTCAAGCTTCCTCTCATTCACATAAGCATACGTTGAACACCCAAATATTCTCAGAGTACTATAACTAGCAAGAGAACCAGACCATACCTCCTCTAAAGTCTTACAATCAATGGAGACCGGTTCACTAAGCAACTAGCTGTAGAAACAGCTTCAGCCCAGAACACTTTGTCTAACCCTGCATTAGACAACATACAGCGTGCCCTCTCTAATAGCGTTTTGTTCATCCGTTCTTCAACTCCATTCTGCTGCAGAGTCTTCCTCACTGTGTGGTGTCTCACCATCCCGTAAGTCTTGCAGAACTCATTAAATTCTCCATCACAAAATTCCAAGCCATTGTCTATCCTCAAGCGCTTGACCTATTTTCATGTTTGCTTCTCAATCAAGGTCTTCCACTACTTGAATGTAACAAAAGCCTCTTGTGCTTCAGAATATAAACCGAAACTTTCCAAGAAAAGTCATAATCAGCGTCATCATATATCTACCACCACCATGTGAAGTAACCTGAAAGGGACCCCAAAGATTAGAATGAATATAATCCACCATACCCTTGGTCCTGTAAATTCCCGTATTGAACTTCACTCTGCACTGCTTCCCAAAGACACAATGCTCACAGAATTCCAGCCTCCCAATTTACAAGCAAACCCTGGTTACTCAGAACATCCATCCCCCTCTCACTAATATGCCCAAGCTGCATATGCCACAATCTGGTAGTATCTGAATCTGGATCCGAGGACAATACAACAACTGAACCCGTGATTGTGCTACCCTGCAAAACATATAAACCAAGCTTCTTCAGTCCCTTCATCACCACAAGAGCACCCTTTGAAACCTGAATGGCTCCACCTCCAGCCTTAGAAGTGCACCCGATGGAATCCAATTCCAGCGTACCCAAGGAAATCAGATTCTTTCTCAATTATGGTATATGCCTGACATCAATGTCCTCACTATGTCGTCATACATCTTGATTCGAACTGTACCGATACCTACAACCTTGCACGCCGCATCATTCCCTATCAGAACTTCACCTCTTCCATGACAAAGCAGTTCTACCATACATTTATCATACGAGGGTGGTAGAGAACACAACAGAATAATAGCCTGATCTTCATCCTCTATCTTGATGTCAATATTATTCAACTCCATGATGATACTATTTACCTCGTCAAGATAGTGTTTCAGAGACGAACCTTCGTGCATCTGAAGAGTGAACAACCGCTTCTTTAGATACAAGCGATTCGCAAGATATTTCGTCATATACCGGGACTTCAACTTCTGCCACAACCCATCCGCCGTAGTATCTCCAACAACTTCTCACAGAACCTCGTTACTCGAGCACAACAAAATCGTACTGTGTGCTTTCTCCATAACCTCATCTTTGTCCTTGATATTTTCTGGTCGTGCATCCTTCCCCTTCAGCACCTTGGATAACCCTTGTTGAACCAACAAAGCCTGCATCCTAACCCGCCATAGGTTGAAATCGTTTCTGCCATTAAACTTCTCGATTTCCAGAAACTTACGACATCCCTGCTTCGAATTGAAAGCTATGATACCTGTTTGTTATGACAAGCGCAACGAAGCCAAGATAAAGCCAAGAATCACGACAGAAAAGTCAACACACCAAACAAAGAACACAAAGATTTATACGTGGGTCGGTAACAGCCTACGT